CCCACTCACAAAAAGAAAAAAAAATTCAAAATTCTTTACTCCCCAGAGAAACAACCAAGACCAACTACCCAGCTACCGAGAAAGAAGTCTACTGATTCCATATCCTTATGCCTGGGAGTTCAGTTCTCAGAACATTTTGCATTATAAAGAGGAGAAGTTACTTTGATTTTGTTCATAGACAAAAACCTGTTTCTTCTCTCTAGTATTCAAAAAAAAAAAAAAAAATGAAGTTGGCTCTGCATTTGTTATTCATTCTCAATACCCTCATCTACATGAATCACCTACTACTTGCCTTCCAATCTCTTCCCACAGCTGCCTTGAATCCAACTAATGAAAATGACAGACTTGCATTGTTGGCCTTCAAGGATCGAATTGTTGGAGATCCATTAGGAATCCTGACCTCTTGGAATGAGTCTCCTCATTTCTGCAATTGGACAGGAGTTTTATGCAGTAAGAAGCACCAAGGTAGAGTTACTGTCTTGAATTTAGCAAGCCAAAAGCTGGTTGGTTCAATACCCCCTCACATAGGAAATTTATCCTTCCTAAGGGGAATCAACCTCAGCTACAACAGCTTCACAGGCGAGATTCCTCCACAAATTGGTCGATTGTTCCGATTGAGATATCTTGATCTCAATTACAACAATTTTCATGGTAAGATTCGAATATGTAATTCTGTTCAAATTTCCACGATATATATTGAACTTTGCTACAATAATTAACCTTACAGGTAAAATCCCAATCGAACTTCAAAATATATCGAAAAGCCTACAGGTTGTCCAGGTCGCTGCAAATCAATTAATAGGAAGTATACCACAAATGTTGGGCAATGCATCTTCACTTATGTATCTATCCTTGGCAAGAAATAATTTACAAGGAAGTATACCAGCGGAGCTTGGAAAACTTCTAAAGTTGCGATTTCTACAGCTTTCTCTAAACAATTTATCCGGGGAGGTCCCACTTTCTATTTACAATTTATCGTCACTATATCTACTTTCTTTTGCAGCGAACCAATTGCATGGTAGAATTCCATCTGATATTAGCTTCACTCTTCCTAATCTTCGGTATTTCCTTGCCCCTGAAAACCATTTTTATGGAGAGGTACCAACTTCTTTCGTAAATGCTACCAAACTAGGTTGGCTTGACCTGGGGACAAACAATTTCAGTGGAGGGGTTCCTTCAAACCTTGGAAACTTAAGGAATCTTACATGGCTAGATCTCTCAGGAAATCAGTTGGAAAGTGCAGAAGGAGAAGGTTTAGGTTTCATAACTTCTTTAACCAATTGCACCAACCTCCGCAAATTGTATCTCGATCAGAATAATTTCAAAGGTGTATTGCCCCTTTCAATTGCCAATCTTTCAACTAAGCTTGAAACATTCACTATAGGTGGAAACATGCAGATTTTAGGTGAAATCCCTGAAGAGATTGGGAATCTGGTTGGCTTAAGCAGACTTGTGATCGTCACTACGAGTATTACAGGTGACATTCCATCTTCCATAGGCAAACTGGAGAAGCTATCTGATCTTCAACTATATGAGAATAGAATTTCAGGGCCAGTTCCATCCTCGCTTGGAAATATCACCGAAATGCTTACATTGCAACTACAAGACAACTATTTGAAGGGTCCTATTCCTCCTAGTTTGGGAAATTATTCAAAACTTGAATCTCTTCGCCTTGATAGTAATTTCTTGTTTGGTAGCATACCAAAAGGACTTTTTAGCCTATCTCATGTCTTGGAGGTCGACTTATCACAAAATTCATTTACAGGACAATTGCCCATAGATTTAGCTGGAGGTAAGATGACCAATCTTCTGAAGTTGAATGTTTCACACAATCGATTGTCAGGAGGAATTCCAAGTGCCTTAGGAGATTGCTTGATGTTGGAGGGACTCTGGATGAGTGATAACTTGTTTGAAGGAGGCATCCCATCATCATTTAACAATTTGAAAAGCCTTGTAACATTGGACCTCTCCAATAACAAATTGTCTGGCAAAATTCCAGAATACTTCCAAAATTTTCCTTTGTTACAGTACCTAAACTTATCATTCAATAATTTTGAAGGAGTGTTGCCAACTGGAAGGATCTTTGAAAATGCAAGCATAATTTCTGTTGCTGGAAACCCAAAACTCTGTGGAGGCATGCATCAACTAGGACTTCCTTCATGCAAGATCAAAGATAGAAAGCTTCATCGTTTGATCATGCTGATTTCAATAATTGCTTCATGCTCAATATTCTTGATGGCATCGCTTCTTGTTATCTTTGCATATAGAAGATCGAAAAGAAAAGCTTCAACTTCTACCGAAGTGCAAGATCCAGAGCAATATCCAAAGATTTCTTATGCAGAGCTAAGTCAGGCAACCAATGAGTTCTCATCAACCAACTTGATAGGCAAGGGAAGTTTTGGTTCTGTGTATAAAGGAATTCTATGTCGAGATGGAATGCCAGTGGCAGTGAAGGTGTTAAACCTTAAGAGGAGAGGAGCTACCAAGAGTTTTATGGCTGAGTGTGAAACAGTGAAAAATATTCGACATCGGAATTTGATCAAGATTATAACTATTTGCTCAAGTATAGACTTTAGAGGAATTGATTTCAAGGCTTTGGTCTATGAGTTCATGCAAAATGGAAGCTTAGAGGAGTGGCTACATCCAAATGGAGATCAAGCTAATGCACACAATTTAAGCATCGTTCAAAGACTCAATATAGCCATTGAGGTCGCTTCGGCAATTGAATACCTACATAACTATTGCCAACCGTCAATTGTTCATGGGGATCTTAAGCCAAGCAATGTTCTACTTGATGAGGAAATGGTTTCTCATGTGGGTGATTTTGGCCTGGCAAGATTTTTATCAATTTCTCAAAACCAAAGTAGTTCCATGGGTGTGAGAGGAACAATTGGCTATGTAGCCCCGGGTAATCATTTTAATTTTCTATAACTTTCTTCAATCTTTTTACTTTTTCATCATTCCATTTTCATTTGATCTTATCTTTGTGCTTACTAATATGATAAATCAACAGTGTTCATCGACCTTTTATTTTTCATTTCAGAATATGGCATGAGCAATAAGGTATCCAAGTATGGAGATGTCTACAGTTTTGGAATTCTCTTATTGGAGATGATTACAGGAAAACGACCAACTGATTCAATATTCAAAGACAGCTTCACCATTCACCAATTTGTCAAGACAAGGCTTCCTGAAAGAGTGATTGATATTATAGATCCTTCATTGCTACAGGAGGTTCAAGATGCAAAAAATTCAGAAGCAAGGAAAATGAGAAAGGGAGTTGGTGTTTTGGAGAGCCTCTTAGCAGTTGCCGAGGTTGGACTTGTCTGCTCAATGGAGTCACCAAGTGAAAGAACGGAGATGAAAGAAGTTGCAGCAAATTTATATGCCATTAGAGACAAATTCCTCGATCGGTAGAAACATATGATTCCCATCAGTTGACTCCATCCATATCAAAGTAGAGTTAGTAGCTTAGGAATACTCTGTTTTGTGCCTATATTTATTAATTATAGTCTCTTTTTTTTTATCTTCTTTTTAAGTCAACTTGTTATTTATTGTTATGATTTTGGACCGAGTTGTATGAAATATGGTTTCTTTTAATGCAAAAGAGTGACTATGATCATATCTTTCTTTGAAAATTTTTTTTTTTTTTTTTTTCAGCAACTTAGAACTTTTGTTATTTGGGTACTTTTACGATATCATTTATTCATTCTGGATATAACTAACTAGATATATACAGAAACAATAAGATGCATTAGCATTAGTTCTTTTCTTAGCTTATAATTTCATAATATTATAGTCCACAGAAGAATTGCTTGTAGACGGTTCATAGTGATAAAGTAAAAAATTGATCAAGTGGAGAATGGTGTTTATGCATCTAATAAGGAACTAAAGGACAGTATATTAAAGAATAAGAAGTAGAGTAACTGAAAAGTTTAAATGACTTTTATTATTGATTATTTTTTTTGAATAATTTGTAATTATTTATAGGATTAATTGAGGGAAGAGGAAAAGGGATTCCGTAGAGCTCGAACGTGCAACTCACTGAAAGTGAACAGTTTTAATTCAGGGTTCAATGCCACTGGATCAGAGCGGACCGTTCGATTTTTATTATTAATTATTAAAAGTAAAATAACTACAAAGAAAAAAAAGAAAAAAGAAGAAGATGAGAAATTGTTATGCAGTAGAGCGAGTTATTCTCCCTTTTTATAGAAAACAAAATACAAAGAACAAAAAAGAAGTTTGTTATAATTTTTTATTAAAAACGTGGCTTTATATCCACGAGCAGGTGGATGAGTTGGTAGAGAACTCTTTCAGTTTAACTAGAGGTCTTAGTTTTAAATTCTGTGAATGCAACTCTGTTAAAACTTGTGAGGAAAAGTTTTGCCGCCCATTGAGTCCTACCTGACTCTAATTTGGATTAGTCGATGACTCAATGTACTTCCAGATACTAGGTGGTCTATACAAAAAAAAAAAAAAAAACGTGGCTTTATTAGATATTGAGCATCTGGTACACTCGTCTTTATTAGGACCCTGCTAGACTTGGTTTTCAGCACATGGATTAAGGTATCGTTTTTAAACAAAACCTTGGTTTTCAGCACATGGATTAAGGTATCGTTTTTAAACAAAACCAGATGCGTAAAAGTTTGAAGCTGAAAGCCATTCTTTCCATTTGTTGTCAATTTCACCAGAGTAGTTTGGACCATTTGGTTATATTCTGACTTGTTGAGAAAGTAGTCAGGGTAATATAATGTCTGGTATGAATCATCTTGCCTTATGAGGATCCTTTTGCTTATTTTTTGAGTTTTATGAAAGTTGAACAAAACACTCAGCACATTTGGAATGCAAGTTAGAATATGATTGAATAAAATAAAAACAATGGGATAAAAAAAGATTGGATTAGAAAAGATAATAAAAGTCTCATCCTATGTTTAGTATTTTTTTGGATTATATAAAAAATTTATCTCATACTTAGTTTGGAACTTTGTATAATTATACAGGATAACTTCTACAAATTTTTTATATGAACGAAAATACCCTTAAGTTCAAAATATTTGAAAACTTACATTCACTTATCCAAGTTTATTAGATAAAATGTCTTTAAAAAATAAATATATGTTAATTCATAAAAATAATTAACCTCTTTAATTGCCCCACATATTATATTTATATGATATATAAATTCATAAATAAGTCAAATAAATTGTACATAAAAAAATCATAAATTACAAAGGAAAAAAATATAACTAAGCCAAATTTATCAAAAAAATTCATTAAAAAAATTTAAATAAAAAACTACAATATTTGTAGCTTGAAGAACAGAATAAAAAAAATATAATGTAAAATGAGAATAATGAAATTAACATTTTAAGGTTTTCAAAACAATAAATATAAAAATTTCATAAAAATAATGCCAGTTAATTGCCAAATCCACCATTAATAGTTATTCATATATAATACCAGTCCTTTAAAATAGTCATCATTATCTATATACCATATAATTTTTTCTAACAAGTCATTTACAAAGGCATATGGTTCTCCTTAGTCGAACTCTCAAAATATTTGTTGCTTCATGGATATGCTCAATGCAACCACAATCCATCTTTAACTTTAATCTTTGGATCTCTGGAAATGTTGGTTATAGTGTGACCTTCTTAATTGCTCTTAACATGAACATGAAATTTAATTTTGAGATCAAACTGAAGCAATGATTGCTAATGCATAGTAAAGTAAACCCTGTTTATCTTAAAAATTTTATAGAAACATGACTGATTGCCTAACTCAAAAGTGTGTTATTCCTCTATTTTTCCTACATAATTAGCACAAACGAAGTACCCAAGAACAAAGATAAAGATTACAAGCTTACCGAAATGAGTAGCTCAAGATCAAAAAAAAAGAAATACAGAGGAATTACAAGATTGCTGCAAGTGAGAAAAAATGGGATAGATTTGAGTTTCATAGGTAGCAAAGAAAATAAAAAAGAAAGAGTAGATTTGAGACTTACCAGAGGATCACAGAGTGGCATAGGCTATAGTGACCAGTGAGGTGAGAAGAGATGAAAAAGCGATCGTCAATTGCGATGAGGGAAGGAGAAAGGGCACGAAAGAGATTTTGCCTAGTCTAAAAAATCTTTAATCCAATCCTACCATAACCCATAAGGTACATGAAATAATTTTTATGCCTTTAAAATTGGATAAAACAAAACATAGAATGCATTTTATCATTTTCATAAGCAGCACTAAATGTGGGTTATTAGTTAATGGGATTAAATTTTATCCAATCCCATCACTAGTACAGTGCTCCAAACGAGCTGTCAGTTCAATGGAAATTGGAATTTGGATCGGATTATTCTTTATTTATTCACTGCATTGAAATTTGTTCAATTATCATTTTTCTTTCTATGCAGATCCAATATTATATGATTTTGACCCATTCCAACTTCAAACTAATACATCGGCAAATTTTGTTATGCTGTTTGTACTCCTTATTGCTATGTGTTGTTTGTCACGCCTTATGATTGTTTTTGAAAAAAAAAAAAAACCGTTAACCATGAGGAAGGGCAAATCCCGGCCACCAGCCCACTAAAACGAACTGGGCTTCCACTGAGGATCCAAGAAATGTATTTCTTGGGCTTCTCATGTAGCGCTTGGAGTGGATTTATCTAAAACAAGATTATGACGTTAACCAATTGCTAATATAGTTCTCCCACTTTCAGCCATCTTTTTTCGGCATGATTATGATTACGATGTTTAACTAATTACTAGTATAAAATCTCTCCGGTTTCAGCCATCTTTTTAGCGTGATTATGATGTTTAACTTATTGTTAATATAAAATTTCTCCCAATTCCTTTTATATGACAATTAGTTAAACATCAGTTTTACACGCTTAAAAGAAAAAAAAAATGGAATATGCCTCCGTTTTTTCCTTGTCATGGTTATACCTCCTCTTTCTCTTTTTCTTTTTCTTTTTCTTTTTTAATAAAAAAGAGAGACAAATTTTATAGGATGAAATCACAAGCTTATTTCCTCTCCACGGAAAAAAAAATATATATAAAAACTAAACATATTATTTGAATTCCTTATAATAGAGAGTTAAATTTATAACCTAAGGTATTGCCTTAAAATCACAGAGATAAAACAGAAATATTCATTCTATCATCTTTATAAGAGCATCTACAACTTTTATTAGAACTAATTTCTACCCTAAAGAAGTAAAAAGTGAACAGGCTAATTCTCTTTTGTTGGACCTTCATTATATTAGGTTATTGGACATAAAATAATACCAGTCACATTCACATACATATATAATTATGCTAAGAAAAATTAAGTGTTTAAACTATAGATTATCAATCACATTCACGTATGATCATCCTCAAGCCCATCAAAAACTAATAACCTTAACATCAACATGTAAATTTTTTTAGTACATTGGAGGGTTAGTTACTTAGCAGTACAAAAATTTTGAATTTTGGTCAACTTGGTCAAGCTCTTATTAGTAACATCAATATGTACTAATCCTGCTATAATAGTTGCAATTGCTACAGCTTTCTCTAAACAATTTATTTGGGGAGGTCCCACTTCCTATTTACAATTTATTGTCACTGTATCTACTTTCTTTAGCAAAAAACCAGTTTCATGGTAGAATTCCATCTGATGTTGGTTTCACTCTTCCTAACCTTTGATATTTCTATGTCCCTCAAAACCATTTTTATGGACAGATAACAACTTCTTTTCTAAATGCCACCAAGTTAGAGGAGCTTGAATTTGGGGCTAGCAATTTCAATGGGGTGTTACGTTCGAAGCTTGGTACCCTAAGGAATCTTACAATTCCAAATCTTTGGGAAAATTAGTTGGAGAGTGCAGAAGGAGAAGGTTTACGTTTCCTAACTTCTTTAACCAATTGCACCAACCTCTGCCAATTACAACCCTATTAGAATAATTTCAAAGGTGTATTGCCCTTTACAATGACCAATCTTTCAACTAAGCATGAAAAATTCAATATAGGTGGAAGCCTTCAGATTTTAGGTAAGATCCCCAAGGAGATTGGAAATCTAGTGCACTTAAACAGACTAATTATGGTCACCGCACGTATTATGGGTGAAATTCCTTCTTCTATAGGCAAACTGGAAAAGCTATCTGAACTTTATCTATTTGAGAATAGAATTTCAGGGCCGATTCCATCCTTGCTTGGAAATATCACCTAACTGCTTACATTGCAATTACAAGACAACTATTTGAGGGGTTTAATTCCTCGTAGGTTGGGAAATTGTTCACAACTTGAATCTCCTCGCCTTGACAACAATTTCTTGTTTGGTAACATACCAAAACAACTTTTTAGCTTATCTCATGTTTTTGAGTTCTACTTATTGTAGAATTCATTTACAGGACAATTGCCCATAAATTTAGCAAGGGTTAAGATGACCAACCTTGTGCAATTGAATGTTTCACACAACCAATTGTCAGGAGGACATCCAAGCGCCTTAGGAGATTGCCTGATGTTAGAGGGACGTCCCTTAGGAGATTGCCTGATGTTAGAGTCGACTCTAGATGGGTGATCACTTGTTTGAAGGAGGCATCCCACCATCATTTAACAATTTGAAAAGC